GTTTTATTTTATTTTATTTTATTTCTTAACCGAATACCTCCTCAGTAATTTATAATGGCTTTGCAGTTGTGTATTAAATAAGAAGCACTGGAAAACTGATTCGTCCTTAGGACGATTTGCATGTTTCAAGTGGTATTGAAAGCCGCACTGATAGATATGTAATAATAAACATATCTGTTATTAATATGGTAATGACTCTGTGCTCATTTAATGAGAAATAAAGTAATTTATGGAAAGACCCTTTTGAAAACGACTGGCATGGTGTTTTCTCCTGACCACAGCTTTTATACATCTTCCTAAGCATTCAGACATTGCAACAACTTCCTCCTACAAGGTGCATTTGCAGCATAACACCTAGAGGACTCTGAAACATTTTTTTACTATTCTGTATGAATAAGTAAATACCATATTAAATAATTTTTTTAATACCCTTATTCTCATGGCTTGCTGTACTAGCCTCAGTTATATTTATTATTCAACCACTGCCCTGAGCTTGCCTTCCAAGTGCTTCATCCTTCATGATGCATGTTTGGAGCTTCAGAAATCCCACTTACTTGTGGGAGGGAACCCTGTGGGGTTCTTGGGGTGGTTTTTTTTAACAGCCTGTGCATCCCATGCAGCTAGCTGTCTGTAAATCTCCCTGGATAATCCACCAAGGCCCGTAGAACAATGGAGTAGTAAGGACAAATGACATGTGAATGATTGTAAGCACTTTGAAAGTCACAGGGCTGGGAAGTATAGATAAATAGAAGGAGGCGATGTGGTAATTCCAGAAATTTCCTCTGTGTTGAGCTTGCTGTATCTGAAATGTCAGCAATTTCAAAGCACTTGAAGACTACCTTGCAGACCACCAGTCACATCAACTGTTAGCCTGCCAAGCAATATGAGGGTAATTATGACCTGCTTTAATCTCCCATTGCATACCCAGAGGGGAAATAATACAGTAAGATGATTAAATGTATCTTCCTTAAATATATACATTATTGAAGGAAATCTAGTGCAATAGAAAAGGTCTATGGTCAGGTCATTCTTCACAGCCAGATTAGGTTTTAGATTGCTTTTCTGTTTTCCTTTATGTGTAACTGACTATCTCTACAGGCTCAAAAACTCTTGCTTGAATAATTTATTAATTTAAAAAAAAACAAACCAAAAAACCAAACCATAATCTTGTAGTTCAGTATTTAATGAATCTGAAAAATAGCATAAAAACTGTTACGAATAGACAGTGACTAGTGGGAAGAGGGAAGGATTGTGGAAAAAATGGGTTTGCTTTACAGACTGGTACATACTACGATTTCCATAGTTGTTTAGCAATGCTGAAATGCTGCAATTCTTTTTAAATGCTGATTTTGCTTGGGAAAGAAGCAGCAGCCTTAATGAGGCGTAAAATTACACTGACTTGTATGTCTGGGATAGGTTGCAACTAAAATGCTGTAATAATAAAAGTCTAGACATGCAAATTACAGTTTGCATGTTCTGGTATACTGATGTTGGCGCTTGTTTACGGTAAGCAAGGTGCCTATCTACAGGAATAGCTATACCTGGAATAACAAATTTAGACAGAGGTTTTTACTGCTAGGAAAAGTAATGCTTACAATCTCAACTGTGCAAACAGGTATTTCGGGGGGGGGGAACTTCCTACATCTTTAGCAAGCATCAGCTTTACCATCCATGAGAAGAAAAAAAATCAGTTTGCTGCTATGTTTGCTACAGCTCCACTTTTTCTGGCTCTTACCTTCTTATTTTGCTTAGCTTTTACCCTTGTCACTAATGATTCCTCTTACAAGAATGTTTTGCCTACACTCATCTAATACAGCCAGTCATCAAGAGATGTGCATGTATAAGCTATAAAGAGGTAGAATAAATCCCTGTGGCTTATTCATATCAGTGAAGCTGTAGTTTTACATTACTGGGAAGTCTAGATTCTTATGTGATCATTTTTTGTTGATTCGCCTCCTCCCTTTTTTCTGAGACTGTGATTATTTAAAATGAAGATCTACCTTCTTTCTTCTATGGCAGGCATCGCAAAGGTGCCTAAAGCACGCCTTGCAAAGGGGCTTGCCTTGCTTCCCCGCGCCTTTTGCTCTATCGCAGCACCTGCTTGTACCACCTGAGGTGCACCTCCTCCGTGCGCTCCTCAGAACTGAACTGCAGGAGATTTCATAGAGGAGAAGCCTTTTGTGCACAGATCTGGACTTGCTCTGACCCACCTTCCAGCAGTAATAAATCCTGCCAGGCCCGCTGGCCTGTGCGCAGTATTGTGCTAACGACACAGCCCCAGCCTTTGGATCCAAGCTGGCTTACGTCTGGCCAGCTCAGGAGGATGGGAAGCAGCTGTGCTTGGGTGGCACAGCAAAAGGCCACAGGAACACAGCCAGGGCTGGCAGTGCCACCATCCCCGTGCCCCTGCAACCCAGCCTGGGGTTCCCTCAGGGCTTGTCCTCACTAGGAAAAAAGATGCATTTAATAATGTTCAACCAATCTTTTACAATTTTAATATCATCAAGGTAATCTGTACTTCATACATTGGGTTGTACTTTTTGTTACTATATTTCTTATGTCAATTTGTAAGATTCAAGGAAACCAGCATCTGTGTATCGATCCCCTCCTTAAGGAAAAAGAGACAAAGCTCTTACGTGAGGCAAAGTCCTACATGATCTTGGAGGAAAGAAGAAGGAGGTAGTGGCTCTTCAGCTTGCTGAGGTCGAGGAGAGCTTTCCTGCAGATACAAACCCTGATTCTTCTCTTTCAGGATAGCACCTTGTAAGGCTTTTGTCAAATCCTGGAAACCTGTGGTCTGTGATTGCTGGAGACCTGATCCTCTAAGGGTTACTCTAAAGGGGAAAGGTCTTCAGTGCAGCTTCAGACTGCTGAGCATTCAGTTTTCATTTAGGAGTCACAAATAAATGGCCTCTATATAGACCACTATTGGTATGAATAACAAATGGCTGGACTGGAGGTATCCTGCACTTACACTCACGGGCATACAGCTGGGATCCACTCTCACCTCAATAGATGGTCTGTGGGATCTCACCCTGGAACTGGATTAAGACTTTTCTAAAAAGCTTCTTTAAGCAAGACAAAGTAACAGAAGATTCATCATCCTTGCTGGTAAACTTTAACTATGCTTGGATTGGCTTAGTAATTGAAACTCTATCTTAATTCAAGATCCACCTTAATTTCAGCATACCACCCATTAAAGCTTCTCTGTGAAATGTAATCCTTGTTCTCCAGAACTTCCTTTTCATGTCCAGGAGCCTACACTGCACAATAAAATCAACTTGTGTTCTTCTTCTCCGTGACAAACTGAAAAGACTGGAATTTCTAGTCCTTCCATCTTAAGGCTTACTTTCAAGCCCTGGATTATTTTTATGGCCACTTTGTTTATCCTTTGACTGTCTGGAATTGAAAATCACGTTTTGCCAGCAGCATGTTTATCAAGGGAAGATCCTCCTTGTTTTGGGGTATCACTTCTGTAGCAAAAGCAGGGCCAGAAGTGCAAATGCAGACAACAAAACGGTGGCAGAAGCTGTGCCAGAAGCTCCTACAGCTGCCAGAGGAGCTGGTGAAGGCAGCAGGGCTGGGTTGCCAGAGGTGGTAGCTAAGGGGGGTTTGAGGAAGGAATGTTTCTGGCATTCTCTTCCTTTTTAGTATCACTGCTTTAGCCTAATACCAAGAGCTTTTGCAGAAGCAGTTGAGACCCATGTCTCCATGCCTACTGCTTTCGGTATCTTTTTTTATTGTCCTGAAGGCTCCTGGCCATTGCCATCACACTCACCCTTCAGCACTCCTTCTCTAGCTCTTAAAATCACCGCTGGTAGGTGGTCATCCCCTCTCCCCTTCTGCTGACCATTTCATCTCTTGCTCCGCGTTCTCCTACAACTCTTTCATCCACAACAGCCTTTTCTTCCCCCCCCGTCTCCGTGCACTGCCGGCGTCTGTGCCGCCCAGCGAACTGCAGCCCGCCCC